GTACCCATTGAGCGACTTTGCGCTTGGTATTGATATAGCACTATGAAAATAGCCACATCTTGTCAAGGAAGCAGAATTGCTCAACAAAATATGTTTTTCCTACTTAACCTAGTTTCCTGCTTTCCCAGCCGTCCTATTTCACCCGGTTTCCGACTTTTCCTGCAGTCCTACATCAGCTAGTTTCCAGCTTTTCCTGCAGTCAAAATGGAAATTTTGTATGAACTAGTTTCTCAAGATATTTAACCAATATCTCAAGATGCCGTTCAACGCAATATATATTTCTCTAAGTGAAGAACAAGTGCTTTGTGATCAGTACAGTGAAACGGAGTTTATTAAACATTTCATTTCATTCATATTAACATCTTTAAATGATACTCTCGCGCATAATCAACATTCCAGGATGATAAATACAACAGTTTATTGAATATTGCTTATAAAATTATCAAGAACAAGAAAAGCTGTAACGGTAATAAGACAATACAGTATCAACAAGGCAATAAAATAAGATATAATCAAATGAATAAGAATATGGAAATTAAAATGAATTTAGGAATTAAATATGGAATTATAATTGAGGAATTATAATGGTTATATACAAATTTCAGACATGTCATTGGATCGTTTTGAAGTACGTAGATTTTGGACACATGTGAACATGAAACTTTTTATTGCACAATCTTAATTTATAGATAGATGACTCTCATTTGATGGCGGACCGAGAGAAATTGTCTTGAATATGTGGAAATCAGGATGAACAGATGAATAGACTCGGACTATGTTTCCATTCGTTCATTTGCAGCCTCTTCAGCAACCGCTTTCGAGTCCCCCGACGATGACGGCCTTGGTGGCAAATTTTCGTTGACAACCTAAAAATACGGAGTTCGTCATTTTCACAGTCCATTCATTTTTTTGGGAGAATGGACATTTGGAAACTTATGGGTCACGAAATTGTCAAATATTCCTTTGTGGCTGTGGAAATTGGTGTATTGGCTGGCATTAGCACGAGGATCCGAACACCACCACATACCAGTGGATAAGATTATGCCTTGGGGAAGTCGGATTAACGGGACTGAAGCATATACTAGGACATCCAGCACACAATACGCATATCGTGCAGAATGTGTGCAAGAGCAAATAATAGTCTAAACGATTTCGTCATCTTTGGCATGATGAAAAAAGTGATATTATGAAATGGACGATATTCGGCAGTACTACTCACATTAACCAATTGATTCATTTGTTCTTCGGTCAAACGCTCTTCACACTCTTCCACGATCAGTTGTATCTGAAACAAAATTGACCGACTGAAATCACGATGCCAAACTCAAAAATATCCACTCAGCTCTTTTTCCAGACACAGTTCAAATTAACAATAAGAATTTTTAAAATTTCGGCTCCTGCTCCAATTTCAGCTCCACATTTTTAAAAATTTCAGCTCTGCTCGGTTCAAGTCCCAGCTCGGATCCGTGAAAAAAACTGCCCTGACGGTCTTAACTCCGCTCCGATTACTGAATATCGCTGTGGCGATTTTTTTTTTGTGATGTTGTCAAAAATTTTTTTAAATGACTTCGTAGCTTGGAAATTACTGGTCAGAACAGCAACAGCATCAATTGATACCAGAACTCGAAACATATCACAAGGTCGAATTACATGAAGGAATGGATTGATCCCTCTTGAAAGATTTGATCAAAACTGAGCAATACGGATCGATATTTCTAGCAATGAACGCAAGTTATCTATCTTATTATTGTCTTCTCAGTCATAATCTCGGTGTTTTCTTGAGTCTTTCCGGGAGAAGTTGTTGTTTATTTGAGAGAGTCGCAAGAAAATCACCATCTGAGAGACTGACCTCAATTATTGTGGACGGCCTCAGATTGATCACTTGCAGAGTTTCGGCGGCGGTCAGCTACAAGCAAAATGAGTATTGGGCAAGGAATAAATTTCTACTTTGCAAATTGAGATTATCTGATTCAATAAATTTGATCCGATAGATCTGATAGATTTGATGATTTCGTATTGTTCATTTGGGTTTGTTCGAATTTCAACATATCAGTCAAAATGAATAACATTATGTTTTCAAACAGAAACGATCTTATCGTTAGGAGTGAAAATTTTGAAAATTTTGAGACGAAAACAACATTTGCTGATTACTTTGAATGGAGCTAATGCCCGGATAGCATTTTCAATATCTTCAGTTTTCTGTGCAGCAGCTGGCGAAGTCTGAAGATAGCTGGACGTCTGAAATTTGACTTTGTTGAAGAATTATTTTAATGAAACGATATTCAGTATGGAAATGTTCGAAAATCAGATGATGAATGAGCAGGGTTTGATCGATTGATGAGAGCAAATGATCAGGTCAGTAACGATCGATAGAAGCGATCAAATGGACCGATATTCTATGCGGCTGCTTGTGATCGATAACTCGTGTCATTACTAGGATCAAGATTAGCTGCTTGCATCATGCAAATTTATCCTGTCACTTTGTATATGTGCTCTTTCGCTATCTCATTTTTGAGTAGTTAAAATCCCTAATCTAAATTCTAAGCGAATGGCTGCTGCAGATCATAGGTCTACCTCATAGATCACAGTTCCAAGCGCCTTCACACGCTGATCTTTCGGTACGGTAGACTGCTGTCTGCGTCGTTCGTTGATCAATTGGAACGTTTCCGCATTTGTTAGCACAGTTTGTTGAGCATCCAAAACATCCATCGTTCCGGCTCTAGCTCCTAAAAATCTTATTCAATTTCCCGGAAGTTCACGAAAACTTTCGAGGAACTACACTCGCTTATGAGATCGATCACCTTCCAGTTGGAAAAACACAAAATTCAAACTTCTACCTCCATTACACCTAATAATTACTCTGAAAAAAAAAACAAAAAAAAACAATTTTTTCCCCGCAAACAATTCACTAAATTTTTCATAAAAGAAAAACTTCTTCAGCTTTGAAACGTCAAATTCCCAAAAAAAGTCCAAAAAAATGTCGTCCTCACAAAAACACAAAAATTCACCATATTCAGCATCGAAAATGAATTAACTCTACCAATCTATCAGCATATTACTGCCAACGAAAGAACTGCTGCTGCTAAGCGCTGTCCTAATAGACATAATAGATAAATAAGGCTGATTAATGACTAAGTTAAGTTTTTTGAAGAGTGATCAAACACTGGTCTAACAATTGAATGTCGAGAAACATTCACACGTCGACAAATGATTCAAATAATTTTTTATTCTTTTTAAACGATAACATTCACAAATGTTCAAATGGCATAAATAATTTAAATGTAATATATAGAATATATGTATATTATTTACACGCAAAACAATATTTTTTCTCATTAAATCATCATCATTCCAAAACTGGTAAATATGCACACAAAAAACCGCTCACACAACACATAAATGACCATCGAACAAACAATCAAAATTAAGCGAAAACAATGATGAATGCAAAAATACTATTTTTCATTCATAAATTCATGTGGAAAACATATGAAAGTCTACGAAAAATATTTCAACAAACAATCCAAAAATTACAATTTCTTTTAT